GCCTCTTGAAGCGCCAAATACTTGCCGATGCTAGGTCTCTTGGTACATATAAAAATGGTAATGCTTGCTAAATGCCTATGTATTTTAGAATGCTATATAGCATCTTATCATTGAAATGTCATATTAAATCGCGTTTTTTTGTCATTCTGTTGAGAAATTCATTTGGATTGATTTTAAGGACATTCATATATTTGTTGTTTGCATACCAATGAAGCAACAAGATCTTTTCGGTTCCTCCCTCATTCAGGAAAATTAGAAGCCACAGAAGTAAATAAAATCAGTCATTCATTTTTAGTCTGGCAAGTTGGGATCTGGTAATTTCTGTGACGTTTTCAAAGGAAAGGTAATGATTGACCGAAACGATGTTGATGTTGCCATTAAGGTTAGCTTGAGCACTTTTTGATTAATCCTATTTAAACGACCTTAAAACTGTTTTACTATCAACTCGGTTCTCTATCCTCTCTTATGCAACTACGTATTTGCATCATATTTTGGCTAGCCCAGTCCTACCTTAATTTGACGCAAATGATGACAAGTCAATTTACTTCGTTACTTCGGAACTTTGCGATTCGAATTAAGAACACCTCTTGGAATCTCATTTGCTAGATCTCTTGTGGAGCATGCCCTTCTAAACCCCTATTCGTTGATTAAGAAAATTTTATTATTATTATAGAAGTGAAAAAAAGACATTCGTACACGTTCAGCCGCGCGAAAGAGATCAGAGTAGTGGACAAATCGCAGCTGCTTTCGAGGTTGTTATTAGACGTCAGCAGCATATTAGAACTAAATACGGATCTATCAATAGTTTACATACAAATTATTATACATTAGTCAGCCATCACAATATTTTAGATTAGTAGCGCATAGCCAGTTTCACATCCCTCCTAGTAGAAGTTGAACATTCTCTTAGAATCATGCCTTGTTCAGATCTGTCATCCACCAACTGAGAAGATATCTCCAGAATCGTTGTTAGAGGCAAGGACAAGCATGATTAAAGAGGCAAAACTAATGGCAGAATATAGGGATCCTAATGTTATTAAGGTTGTACGAACACTATGAACTGTTACATATTCAATATCGGCTTTTCAGTTTTATGGAGTCGCTTGTGATCGACCACCACTAATGATTTTGATGGAGCTATGTGCAGGGGGAAGCCTAGACAATCATTTACGAAAAAGAGGAAAAGCGATCAGTGCCACAGAGAAGATTATTTATCTATACGAGGTAACTCTGCCGCTGCTTTTCGCTTATGTGGCAACACATGCTAAATATAAGCTTAACTATTTGTCAATGCAAAACACAGTGACACGATTATAATGTTACAGAAATCATAAGGCTTCATTAATATTTTCTGTAAAATAAAATCGTCTGTGAAAAATCCAATAACTTTGTAGATTTCATGTGGTATGCGGTATCTACATACAATGAACTGTGTTCACCGCGATCTTGCAGCGAGAAATTGTCTTATTTCCAGTAACGTGAGTTGGATAGCTAATAGGTCTAAAAAACATGCGAACTTTTTCCAATACATATAACTTGTTTAGGGTATTGTCAAAGTAGCCGACTTCGGATTAAGCGTTATTTTAGAACACGGAAAGACAATGTGTCGAACAATTATCAAAGAAGCGCCCATACGGTGTGTGATTTGTCATCATGAAATCTTACAGTGTCACATGTACCTCTCGAAATTCTTGCGACTATGCATTTCATTTCAGATGGTTTGCACCAGAGTGCTGCTATAAAACGCCTTCTTTTTCAAAGAAGACCGATGTCTGGGCATTTGGCACAGTTATCTTTGAGATATTTACAAATGGTAGCAAGGTAGGAGCAAGCTCTGAAATGGCCCGTTATATAATAAACATAATGATTAAACAAATGGTGTTAAGCCCTTCATTGGAGTTAAAGACCTAGAAATAGTCAGAGCCATAAGAAAAGCTGATATGCCCGATCCACCACAAGAAACACCGAAAGAGATTGCTAGCCTTCTCAAACAGATCTGGTATCATTGTCTTTTACTCTTTTCACAACTAGCTAAACTCGAAAAGTGGGAAAATGAAAGACACAGGAGCTGTTTTCAAATTGTAAAGTGTATAGATAACTCCATTGGGGGGCGTACAATGCGTTCCCAAAGCCTTGCCGCTTTTTCTAGAGAGAGTAATTGAGCCTCATGGGAGAATCTAACACCTTGTAAGAGCTGGGTTTACTCCGCCCATTAGTCCACCTAGCCTTCGTCAGACTAGGCTGTGCAGCCCGTGAATAGTCACACGAATCCTGACAAATCGTCTAGGCAAAATTTTTTTTCGCAATTGGCCATCTAAGGAGATGTGCTCTACGAAATTACTGCTATACCAGGTCAAGATATGGACAACGTGATTTAACATCAGATGGAGAAACAGGTTTTTAAGAAATTTCTTCAAGAGTTTCCTTACATGAGAAATGAAAATTTGACATTCTGAAGAAGCGTGATATCATCTCCATCCTTCTCTTTGGCCTTGGATTTGTCCAGGTGCTAGACTTGCAAAGGTTAGTCTAAGAATAGGCTCTAGGTGGAGCAATGTGCGGAGCCAGAACTTAGCACTTAAGAGGCGGTTGCAAAAACGTCTCGTCATCTGCTCCAGGGTAAAAGCGGCAAAGCTTTGGAAATTCCTGCGCGTCCTCCAATTCCATTGACGATCGCGCGTTGTTTCATGTCTGGCGCATGGTTCGAGCGCCTTTTTCGTTGACCACTGCTTGTACTGGTTTTGTGAAGGTGATACCTATTACATATATAAATTTGCAAAAGTTCAAACTAGAGTGACACAGGCGACCAAAGGAGTGTGACGCACCATGGGCACGCGGTCATAAATGGAATATATGTATGGGAGTCTCGCCTTGGTAGTAAAACGTCACGAGATACTACCTAGGCGAGTATAGCTCTATATCGTGCGACTACATAATATTGTGTGGTTCTACGGCCATAATTGATGATTTCATAGTCAAGGAAACGCAATACCTTAATCTGGGGAAATAGGGCTTTGCTTAGTTTGGAAGCGCTAGTACAAGCGCGCACCATAACTCGTCTTTTTCATTTTATACGTCGTTCTACTTGCTTTGCATTTTTATACTGCCAGTGCGATGGAAGCAGCTTCTCTTTTTAGCCAAATTTGCAATCGTGATACTTCTATTACATATGGTTGATGCATAATTATCCGGACTTTTTTTGCGTGCTTGTATCTTTTTTGTTTTGAAAGCTTTTTG